TATTAATACAATATATCAACTTTTTTTTACCATTTTAAACATAAAGAAATTGACAGGTAAATAATGCGTTCAGTCACATAGCTAAAAATAGAACCAGAACACGAAGTCATGTCCTCTGACTCAAGTCCAGTGCTCTTTCTAATACATGCTAATGCAGTAAGGGAAAACATTTTCCTATTTCCTGAAAAAAAATAAGATCTAGGCTTAAAATAAGTTTCCTACAGGAATAACACTTTTCTAAAGTTATATTTATTATTTCTTGGAGTCTCTATGAATGTAGAGGAAACCTAATCTAAACAACTTAAAGATGTAGGAAGATGCTAGCAATTGGCAATGCTGATAACAGTGTGAGACATAGTCAAACATTTGAGATCAAATGGAAGTTTTATAATCTTCCTATTTCTTTTGTTCATTTTGCATGATAAATTTCCTTGACTCAGGAAAGAGTCTATTGAATCAGTTTAGTTTATTAGGTTGAGTCATATCAAATAGCCCGCATTTAACCATTTTTGACCTATAAGAAGTCAAATTTGCATCATTCAACTAATGTATGAAAACCCACTGAATACTGCAACATTTTGGACAGCTTGATCTAATTTTCAGGGGTCACTAGGAGACATAAGCGTAGCAATGGAACTTGGAATGTCTTAGTTGTTCACCAAATCTTACTATGGCACATGCAATACTCAAAACATGTCATGAAAATCAAGAGACATGATCCCTATTTGGTAAAATAACTTCACACCCTGAAGAATGATGCTGACCTCAGTTTTAACTGATGCTCTCCAGGCTTAAAGAAATGAAAACAAAAGCAAACAAAGGGGTGGGGAGTGAATTAGAAGGAACTCCACAAAAAGATAGAGGGTATAATTGCACATCATTTGCATAAGTTCCGTTTTGTATAAGCAGTTTGTAAAATTCTCCTAGCCTTACAAAAGTACTGCTGGGGATGTACTTAGAAGAGCTGGGAGGAGGGGAGGGTGCCCTCTTTGAGGGATTCTTATCTTGTTTATAAAAATGACACCTGTCTTTAGAAACGAACTGACAAGTCGAAACATGAGTTTAGGAACCACATCGTAGCGTGTGTATTTGGAGATGCCCACTCAACCCTGATGGGACTTCGGAACTTTGTGATGCCCTTGAGAACTAGCAACTACACCCGGAAGGAGCTGAAGGACATTGTGTTCATTGGGTCTCTGGATTACCTGCAGAAAGAATGGCGATTTCTCCGAAATTTTCCCCAGATATACGTTCTACCTGTAAGTATCACATAGGGTAGAGTGAATATTTATAACAAAAGTAATATTAATAGGGTTAAAATTTATAATAATAATAGTAATAGTAATAATAGCTTGCACTTATATAGTGCTTACTGGGTACCAGAAACCACTCTAAACATTTTACAAATATTAATTTATTTAATTCTCAAAATAATCTCATAGGGTAGATATTACAGATGTTTAACTTTAACCATGGAAAAAATGAGTAATTTTACCAAGATTATACAGCAGGTAAGTGGCAAAACTAGGATTTAAATCTGGACATTGTGGCTCTTGAGTTTATGCTTCAATCACAAAATTTTATAACCTTTATACCAATAAGAGTTTCTCTGCATTTCTGAGTCTGATTCTAATTTAATGGCTAAATCTAAACTAATCCTGGCCAGCCTTTGTGCTCCACTTTCTCATCTGCTCTGGAGACATGTTATGTGGATCATGTAATACCACATGGTCCATGACATATGTATGAAGGGGAGGAACTTGGTTTACATGTTTAAGAAATGGATCCATCATGCAAATGTGGTATTGTGGTTGTAATTATATTTGCCCTGAACATTTGTAGGTCTGTATCCCACTCTTTGCCATCATTTCCCTGGGTGCAACGTCCATTGTGTGCACTGTGAAATGTACCAAAGCATTTGAATTTCCATGAAATACTGTGGGTAACATATGAAGAATTTTTTTAAACTTCAAAAATGATTCTCTCAGAAAGCAAATTGCATTTGCTTTTTAAAAAGGCTACCATAAGGCTCTCTGTACCTGCCCTGCCTTGCTTCAATTCATCAAAAGGAAAAAAAAAATGACCAGAAGTCTCCAGATACAGCTGGTGTCAGGAATAACCAGTATTAGACTCTAAGCTACTGAAGGCAGAACCAGATCTATCCCTATTTCTCCACCAAAGAAAGAAGCAACTCTCACATTGCTAGTTAATCTGGAAAACATAAGTAACGTCAGCTACTAGCAAGATTGTAAGGATTGAAAATTTGCCTTTAGGTCCATACCTCTCCTTTCTCTGAATTTTGCCCTCAGCACTGGTATCCTTCCCTTCTCCCACCTGAGGTATCTGGATGGATTTACACACCTCCCTCTCCCCTGTTCCTTGCCTCTGCCAAACTTGCTCTCAGGAAAGGCTTTGTGCAATTTATGCTGAGATGATAATGATTGATAAGGCTAAATGTGTTGTTACAGAATGGACTTTGACAGAGAAGCTGTTGGTACTCAGAGGGCTGGAGAGTCAGGTGTTTTATTAAGCCGGCAGGCCCAGATGAGCTAGCGCTTCAAAATCTGAGCCTCAAGTTTGGGTCTTACAGGGCTTGTATGGGCAGCCTGTTCTGGGTTCTTTGAAGTTTTGCTCTCTCAGCATTCATGTAGCCAGTACAGTGGTCATTATGATAAGCAAGCACATTTACAGAAGTGGGAGTACAGAGCGGTTGATGATCAGTAAAGCTAATCCAATAAGCAGGTTCTGTTCTAAAGGCAGAATGAGCTACTGAAAGAACTAATTTTGTATTTTTCCAACAGTGTCAGATATCTACATGTCAGATATCTATGTGTCAGATGTCATACCAAGTTTGGTAACTAAGTTTTTAAATCAAGTCAGTGGCGGCTGGAGAGCGTTTGGCTCAAAAATGGCATCAACCACAAAGAGCCACCACCAAGAGCCACTATATAAAATCCCTCCCTCTGACGAGTGCCTGCTCTAATCCTGTTTTCTCTCACTAGGGTTCTGCGTTCTATTCTGGAGACCTGCATGCAGTCAACATAGAGGAATGCTCCATGTGTGCTATCTTGTCCCCCCAATCCCAGCCGTCAAGCAGCCAGACCCTGGTGGACACAGAGACCATCATGGCCACCCTCAACATCGGATCACTGCGGATTAGACCTTCCACGCCAGGTAAGAACAACACCCTGACCATAAGCGGCTGGGGGGAACAGGATAAGGAGAGAATTAACTCCTCTCACAAGTGCTTCCATTATGGGAAGGAAGAGAAGTTGGTCCAGATGTCCCCAAACACCCCTTCCAACTCTGAGAATACTGTAATCGAATCACCTACAGTTCAGCCCTCTGGACTTCTAAGTCAAGTGAAAAACAATATTCATCTTCTAAATGGAATGTATGTAATACTGTTTTCCCATTTTAAGGGAAAAAAATCAGAGAATTGTAAGTGCTATTATTTTTGTTGTCATTAACCAAATATCAGTGGACATAGCAATTGGTATATTATAATTAATAAGAGGTATTATTATTAATCAGTTCTTCCTAGATCTTATAGATGTTCAGGATACAATTCTTAGTTTCATGGTTGATAGAATGAACTGTAATTCTCTTTTACTCTTCATGATGTTTTCAATGTATGGACTTTGGGAGGCTATCTCTAAGGTCCCCTCCCAGTCCCATATACTGAAAATGTCATATTTCAGCTTCAGGTTGGAAAGAGATGTCTCTTTCTGAGAGAGAAGGGGGATCTCTTCAAGATAGGGATGGTGTCTTTCCCTCCTTTGTGTCCCTCTCAGTGCCTAGCACAGTTACCATAATAACTTATGGTAACATGCTTAACAAATGCCCACTGAATTGACGCAAATGAGTCAGTGAGTGAGACCCTGAAGAGCATCTGCACACTTCACTGCACCTGAAATGTGCCTGCACATCTTCCACTACAAAATTGGGATTTCTTTCTCCCCCCAAAATGAAAAAAGGCTTCTATGTATATTAGTCTATTTCTAAAAATTGACCACCAGACACTCAAGCTAATATGAACATACTATTACTGAAGAAATTTCTGTATCTGAAACATTATCAATTCAGGAAAAAAAATAAACCATGATTGGAATCCATCAGATCCAGCCATTTCCCTTGGGGATGAGTGATTCTCTATATCAAGATCAGGTGTCGGGTCCTCAGGCCACATGGTTTCTGATGACAGCTGTTCCACTTCGCATGGCACTTGGAGAA